TCCTTGCAGAAGGAAAGACTTTACTTTTTATAATGTACCATAATGATGAAATTAAGACACCTCCGAGAGAAATAATTCTCCCACCTGTAATTTGGAAATACTTCGGAGGCCAAGGTCTCCCCAGTGTCTCCGTTACTCCCTGCAGAAGTCGGGCTTGGGGGAAGGGACACTAATGCCACTGGCCCTGGAGCCCCATCCAGTGTGTGGATGAAAGATGCCCCTCCACTCTCAGCCCCACCAAGGGGCCAACCCGCAGGCTCTGTTAGCTTGAGCAGACCTCCTTCTGGGGTGTCTCCTGCTGCCTCAAAGGAAAATGAGCAAATCAACTTGGCCTTCTGCCCTGCCACGCATTAGACCTTCCAGTCTTCCTTCCCCTCCCGGGCATTATCCTGGGTTCTACCCTTATGTTTTCACTTCTTTTTTTTGTTTTTGCTATAAGGCATATGTGCTCACTGGAGAGAGACAGAGAAAAAGAGAGAGAGAGGAAGTGAGAAATCACCCCTGGGAGGTTGGCCACACCACAGTTCCTACTCTTCTGTTCTTTCAGGATTTTGGGCGCGCACACACGACCTGGAGTGTTGTCAAGTTGCCAGGCCAGAACTGGAACCATGCAGTCGGCCGTGTGGGATCTAGCACCTCACCCATCACACCACCCGCTGGCCCCAGCCCCTTGTTTTCTAACAGTGTCACTGACATGGAGACCTTTGTTCATGGCCTTAAGGCCACTACCCTAGCCCAGGCCAACCCCCTTGAGAATGCTCCTTGTCCAGCTGACTCCAATGCCACCAGCCCTCACCATGTCCACCTCCTCCTTCAAAATATACAAGGTAGAGTGGGACCCTTAGGGCAGGGAGAGCTCAGGAGCCAGGCCCCTTTAGGAAAGTGGGATCTGAAGTACGGCCATATCTGGAGTGGCAGGGCGGCCTCTGGGAAGGCCGCAGGCCCTGGGGCTACTGCTCCATCTATGAGTGGAATAGAGCCAGAGGGCCCTGGGAAGGGAGGGATGAAGGAAGCCAGAATGGCAGGGGTCTGCAATAAGGATCACCACTGCAGAGACACGCAGGCCAAGCCCAGCCCTCCCCATTCAGGGGTGCTCAGGGGTTTAGGGTCCTCTGGAGCTGTGGTCCTTATGAGGGCTGGTGGTGTCAGCAGTTTCTGTGTGCCGTCTTGCCACAGATGGGGCCTGATGTCAGGCCCAGCTTGAAGCCATTGTTTCAGGAGTCATGATTCCTGTCCTCACGCTGCGCCTTCAGAGGAGGCCACCCAGCCTTGTAGGGGTGAGCACTGGCCTGTCTGGCCTCATACCCTGTCCAGGCCCTATCCCAGAAGACTGGTGTCTCAGCTGGCAGGGAGCTTTTGGTGGAAGACCCTCCCATCCTCAGAGCATTGGCCTGCCAGTCACTGTGGTGCACTCTGGGGACAGGGGCATCAAGGGGCTAAGTACTGAAGTACGCCCACACAGAGTCTGCTCTGTCTATGCTTGGGCAGCCCAGACACAGCCGGGACAAAGTCAGGCCCCCGCTTCTACCCACGTGGCCACTCACCTGGAGATGGCTACTCTGGTAGTAAGAGGCTGTCTGTGCCCAGGCTGCCTTAGTCGCAGAAGCCACACCTCAAAGCCACATGAAAAAGTTCTTGCAGGCCCAGCCAACATGGTATTGCAGGCACCCTGCAGTGCTGGGAGCCGTATAGTGGCCACAGGTCTGGTCCCAGCAGGTCTGAAAAACATGCCAGGCACACTTGCAGTTGCCCAGGAGCTGAGGAGCTGCAGGCTGGAAAAGGGATCGCAAGACCCCACAGAGGGTGTTTCTATGTCTCTCTGTCTTGCATGTACACACATATCCTCTATCATTATAAAGGAAAAAAATCAAAATAAAAATGGGAAGTTATCCCATCTTGGCTTTATGACTCTTAAAGTCTTTTTTTTTTTTTTTTTTTCCCCTGTATTTTTCCGGCAAAAAACCTCTCTCCTCAGCCCAGGGACGTGAGCTCCATTGTCCAGACTGTCAGCGAGTGGAACAAGGCTGTGCTGAGTTTGCAGACGTCCTCCTCGGGCCCCCTCCACCAGGGTACCATCCCTTCCTCTTCCTGGACAGCTTCCACGAGGTAGGTGCAGCCCACCTAAGCTAGGGGTTGGAAGACCACTCCAGTACAGCCCTGCATGCTCACAGGCTGAGACCCATGCCCCGCTCTGCCTACCTGCCTGCCCCGAACACTCAGGCCACACGCATCTCTTCTGAGCCTCACGCCCCTCTCTCCTCCCTACGCCTGATCCTTCCAGAAATCGGGCAGCAGGTCCAGTGGCAGGCTATGCCACGGGAAGATGACACCAACTGCACAGGAGCCATCAGAAGGCAGCAGGTAAAAGTCACCTCGTTCAGGAGCATCTGGGGGCATTGGTGCTGGTCCCAGGCAGGGGCTGTGGGCACTGATAAGCAGCCCTGCATGACTGTGGTGGGTGTGCCTGTTGCAACACACCTGCCTCAGTTTCTCCCAAGCACAAGATATTGAGGATGCCAAGGGAAAGGGTCTGCCCAGAGCATGCAAGTCCCTCCACCCCAAGTTCTATGACCTGGAAAAGGGGAGGCCAGAGGATGGCACCTGCACAGAGGGAGCTCTTGATTTGGAGATGGGAGCAGCTGGAGTATAGCCCCCACCTGTGTCCCCCATGGCTGACAGACACCCCCTCACAGCCTCACCCAGACAGGCCTGAGAGTAGGCGTGCCTGTGGCTGCAGTTTTGTCACAGCGAACCGCACTACCCACAGCCCCTGGGGGAGCCCGGCTGGGAGGCGTGTGGAAGGCAGCAAGAGTGAGATGCTGCAAGGTTTCCCCAGGGACAGATGCGAACTAGGGTGTTGGGGCAGCCTCCGAGGGCTCTGTGAGCAAGGGGACAGGCAGGAGAGGTCTCCGAGGCACATGTACACCCCTGCACGGTGGCAAGAGCGTCTGAGGGACTTGCAGGTAGACCCCATTTCCCACTATTTCGTGCCAGCCCGTGCCTGGGTACCAAGCATCAGGTGTCCCGTTTCACAGAAGAGGACAGTGAGATGCAGGGACTCAGAGTCAGTCATCGCTGGCTCAAGTCAAGTCTGACACATTAGAGAGGGCTGCGTCACACTGTGGGAGGCAGAGGCATGCCATCACTGCTTCTCAGGGACACAGGTGAGCTCCCAACGTGAGCTCCCAGTGGCCAGTTGTGGCCAACTCAGGTGGGACTGACCTCTCACCTCCTCCCTCCCAGAACTCTAGCACCTGCCAGGTAGCCCCAGGAGCCATGGAGGCTGTGGGCAGGTCCCTTGCAGAGCCAGGTGCTCTCGTCTCATTTGGTAGAAACAGGTTTGGGACCCTCCATGGGAGCAGAACATTCTAGAGACACAGTGTACAGACTCTGAGAGGAAGATTACCTTCTCTTGAGAGACACAAGCCTTCTTAAGACAGGACGGCATTGGTGACTGGGCAGGCACCCGTGGCTGGTGGGTGAGTGGCAGAACCATGTCCCTGAGATGGACAGCTAAGAGCTTTGTGGGCAGAGGAGGGGTTCCAGGTATTCCCGGCACCAGGTCTCTGACCTGTCAGGCCTTGTCCAGCCAAAGAGCTGCGGACACCTCGAGTCACCCAGGCCAACCCTGTCTTCCCTTGTGCTGCCATCGACAGAGCCTGGGCCTGCGGGCTCAGACCCTAGCAAGAAGCTCTAGGAAAAGAAGGTGCTTAGTAGAATGGAAGCAGGGCTGCAGCCTCCACCTTGAGCTGCTGCTGCCTGCTGAAGCTCCCTGCAATTAGACTGCTCATCGGTGACGCCAGTGGGCGTGGGCCGTGCTAGGAACGCTCGGAGGCTGGCAAAGTGCTGGCAAGCTGACAAGCCTTTGATCCCACTGGCGAGGCGGCACTGGGATACGAGCCGTTTCCAGTGGGAGGTGCCACCCTCTGTGTTGCTCTGAGTCATGGTTTGTGAATTAAATATGAAGCTCACTTTATACAATAACTTGAGAAGCATAGACTTAAAAAAAAAAAAAAAGCCAAGATCCTGCAAACGTGGAGATTCCCGTTTGCCCAGTGTTTCGATTTCGGGGATGGATGTGAGATCCAAAAGCCAAAACACACCAAGAGTTGTTGGCATAAATATGCGCAGACCCAAATGCTCAGGGCAACATCTCGGCTTCCTTCGTCACTGGCAACTTAGCAGCTGAGGTTGATGTTGAAACATCTTAAAGAGCTGAGGTTGATGTTGAAACATCTTACAGAGCTGAGGTTGATGTTGAAAACGCTGGGAGAGGAGCCGTTTCCAGTGGGAGGTGCCACCCTCTGTGTTGCTCTGAGTCATGGTTTGTGAATTAAATATGAAGCTCACTTTATACAATAACTGAGAAGCATAGACTTAAAAAAAAAAAAAAAAGCCAAGATCCTGCAAACGTGGAGATTCCCGTTTGCCCAGTGTTTCGATTTCGGGGATGGATGTGAGATCCAAAAGCCAAAACACACCAAGAGTTGTTGGCATAAATATGCGCAGACCCAAATGCTCAGGGCAACATCTCGGCTTCCTTCGTCACTGGCAACTTAGCAGCTGAGGTTGATGTTGAAACATCTTAAAGAGCTGAGGTTGATGTTGAAACATCTTACAGAGCTGAGGTTGATGTTGAAAAGTCTGATTTCAGCAGAAAGAAGCATTTCACTATTTCCTCCCAAGAAAATGGAGGGAGCAGCTGCTCATCCTCCCAGCCCAGCCGGCGCCCGTGAAGGAGTTTCATGGCACTCAAAGTCGAATGCCCTTGGACCAGGGTTATTATAATTCTGGGAAGTTATGGGAGCAGAACTAGAGCGTGTGGCATTAAAACGACCCGTGTGTCTTTTGAGCACAAGTCTGTGAGCAGCAGCAGCTTCTCCCAGCTTTGCCTCTTATTGGTGCACATTGCTCCCAATTTCGGAGACTTCTGGGGGCTGTGGGTGCTTCTCAGGGCCCCAAGACCACAAGGCAGGACCCTCCCGCCTTGTTGGACTGATCACCCAAGGGCGAGGCCCAAACTCCCTGGGGAGCTTTGTCTCTCTGCGCAGCTGGGCTGTGTTTTCTGTATATAGAAACCCTAGAGAGATATTTTTAATCATGAACTCTCCCCTAAGCTCTTGCATCCCTCCCAGGAGGGAGCCCAGCTGTGGAGTGAAAAGCTACCCTTCTCAGAGATTCCCAGGGGCCCTACAGTGGCCATAGTTAAAGAGTTAACATTGGGGGCCAGCAGGCAGCATGATGGTTAAGATTCTGGACTCCCATATGGCTGACCTCAGTTTGAGTCCTAGACCCAGTGGCTTGAAAATCGTGCCAGGCGCAAATGCATGCGTGTCCAGAATCCTGAGAGGAGAATGGAGGAGAAGGGGTTGCAGCATGGCATCCTCCTGGGAGTGATGTTTTGCTTTTCTTCTCTCTGTCTCTTTCCAGTGAGTGCCCTATGACAAAAACCTTTTTTAAAAAAGAGTAACCACTAAACGCAATGCATGCGCACGATGCCCTTGCCTGAGTCCAGCTCTCTGACCCCTTCACCACCAGGGTCCCACAGTGAGATCCCCCACCTCCCTCAGACCCCACCGCCTTCCATATCCCAGACATTGTCAGTTTCCCTGACCAGGGCCTCCCCATGCCTGTCCCCACCGAGTCCCCCTAACCCATCTGGGTGTTTGTGTGTCCTCCCACCTAGGGAAGGGTGTAGGGGACCTCGTCAAGTCCCCTTTACCACCAGCATCTGCCCTTGCTATGTCCCTCTACTGCCTCCTGCAGCTCTGCAGGCAGGAAGGGTTGAAGTCCTCACTGGGTCTGGGCACCTCCTCCCTGCACACATCTAAACTGGACTTCCCCCGAGGAGCCCACCTTTTGGAATTCTACGGAAGCCTCCTTTCCAGTGACCACGCCTAGCTCTGGCAAATCAAAAGCACTTGGGCTTCCAGGCAACTGTGTTGGATGCACATTTCAGACATCCTCTGCAGTCTTGGGTATTCAATTCCAGGCCAGGTCTCCCCTGCCTCCAGACAGGGCATACGCAAAGGCCCAGTGTCTGCGAATGGGCCAGAGCAGGTGCTGATGGGGTGAGTGTTCCTGGAACCCCTGGAGACTCTGCCCCACAGTGACTCTTAGGTGGGAGTCTTGATTGTGAATGATGCACATAACAGAGGATGGAGAAGGCAGGCGGCCGTCCCCTGCAGCCAAGAGGCTCTTGGAGGCCCTCGGGTCAAACCACACCAGCAGGCTTGAGCTGGGATTCTGTCACTAGCACTAGGACTCCTAGCTAGCTCTGCAGTCTTGGGTATGAAGTTCCAAGCCAGGTCTCCCCCACCTCCAGGCCTGTCATGGCTCAGTCCCTTGAGTTAGCCCTACCTCCTCCAGTTCCGGGCCCTGAGAGCACCTTAAGGACCTATGACCCCACACTTGCTCCACTTCCTGCCAGGAGTTTTTTTGCTACTCCCTCCCACCTCCTCCACTCCACACATGGCTGCCTTGTCTCCTTCGCAAGGACCTGGTGATACCAGCTTCCCAGGCGGCCCCTTTCTCGAATCTGCCAAGGGCCTCCAGAAAGCTCTAGGTGCCATCATCGGAAACCCCTGTTAGTAATGAGGAGTGAGGTCCCTCAGGGAGTAGGCCTGCTGGGCCTAACCCAGCTGCTGGGTCCACCTGGGTCACCTAATTGCTCCCCAAGGCTGACAGGTGCAGAAACCACAAGCCTGTGCCCTGACCAGTCCAGCCCAGTCAGCCCAGGGCCTGCTCAGCTGCCACAGCCTGTGCCACGTTCGTGGTTACACATGCTGGGTGTTGTGTCTTCCTTTGTGATCTGACTCCCAGTTCTCCGTGAGCTCCTCAGTGGGATACGGGGGGATGGGCCAGAGGTATCTGACCAGAGGGCAGAGGCTCAGAGGGGCCCGCATGGGGCAGCCTGGTGGGCTACACCAGGGCAGTAGAGCCCAGGCCCCAAACCACCCCCACAGACACAGATCTGTGGTTACTCCTAGTGCAACCTTGTGGCTGGGCTGAAAAACCACCCCTTCCCTCTGGTTTCCCGACAAACGCCCAAACCTGAGCTCTTCACGGATGCTTTCACTCTTATCTCTGGACACGTCTCATCAACTTTGCTGAAGACAGAGATTTTGACAGAAGCTAGTCACAGACTACAAACCTGTCTCCAGGTTGCTCTGAATCTCGGGCCACTTGGCAAATACTTGGCTCTATAACAAGGTTCCCAGGGTGTCAGTAATTTTTTAAAAGAATTATTTGATTTAAGTTTATTTATTTTAATTTGGCCAGAGAGAGAGAGAGAGAAAGTGAGAAAGTAAGCTGCCAGGTCTGGGATTTGAAACACAGTCGGCCACGTGGGAGTCCAGCGC